CAGTGAAGATGTCTTTTGTATCTTGGTCCTTCAGTTTTTGAGTGTTGAACTTGACTTGTGGTCTATCTACAGCTCCCGCTTCTCTGAAAGCTTTTAATTTGATTTGGATTGTCCTTTGTACGAGATAGTGGTCTGAGCCAACGTCTGCTCCCCTTCTTACTTTTGTGTCCAGTAGGCTGCGCCTCCACTTCCTTGAGCAGCATTGAGATGAAGTCGATTTGGTTTTTGTTTTTCCTATCTGGTGACACCCCTGTGGATGTCTTTGTGTTTGTATACACTGCCACCAATCACTAGTTTACTCAAGGCGCAGAAGTCAGAGAAGAGTTCTTCATTTTCATTCATTTCTCCGAGAGCTTCTCTGCACATGATGAGTTCCCTTCCTGTGTTGTCTGGTCCCAGTTTAGCGTTCATGTCTCCCATTGGTATTTTAATGTCATCGACTGGAGTATTGTCCATCGTTGTCTGCAGTTGTCTGTAGAATTCTTCTTTCTTTTCGAGGTCTGCGTTGTTTGTGGGTGCATAGCATTGCATAACTGACACTTTCCTTCCTTTGGAGTTGAATCTGGCTGTCATTATCCTGGGCGAGAACGCCTCCCATTGTATCAGGGTCTTCGCTACAAATGATGACATCATGATAGCCACACCCTTGGTATGCTCGTGGTTGTCTCTTGGGTGACCAGAATAGATCAAAGACTCTCCCGTTGACAATTTAGTGAGTCCATTCCCATTCCATCTGCTTTCACATATTCCCAGTTCTTGAATTCCGAATCTTTTCATCTCGTTTGCAATCTGGGCAACTTTGCCAGTGTCGGATATGATGCGGACATCCCATATCCCCACAAGGACTTTTTCTCTTGGCACAAGGAGGTTCATTGTTCTGAAGTTTCCGTAGCAACTTTGTTTACAGGGTGGGGTCGCTAGCCTCAAACCTGAGAAGGGGATTGTTACATTAAAATATAGTTTACAGGGGAGTGACCCTGTGGGTTGCTCCCCCTAAAACCAGGAAAACAAGGGATAAAACAATCAGAACAACACTAGCAAAAGGGAAAAAATTCACAGCAAGAAGGGCAACAAGCGACAACAACAATAATATCACAGTTAGGCACAGTTAACCAAAATGATACCAAAATCATAGACCCACTGGCTTGAGCCAACTTGAACATGTAAATCCATCAATATATACAATTATAGATATTATTTAGTGTGAGACAAGCACGAAGTAGCAAACAGATAATTATAGGTATTATCTGTCAACGAGGTTATATCCACAGATTCAGTGTTCGAAAGGCAAATAATTACGATAAATTCCGAAATTTTTCGGCAAGAAACTACATAGAAATAACAGTTTTATATAACGACGTTAATGTGACGTGGCAATCGAAAAGCGTGTCTAGGTACGCAGCATCTGTGGGAAACCTTATATTGTTCGGATTCGACTTCCTCTTCGTTATCACATCCATGAAAATGAACTGGCTGCCAAAAATCATGGTGTGCATCCCCTCATATTGCTGCGTGCTGACATCACTTCTACAGTCGAAACGCAATAGTAATAATATGTCCTCATTTGGGTGTACATGAGGGAGGCCATTTTGCAGGCACCATGAATACATCCAATCATAAAATATGGAGTAAGCATATTCACAGTAGCTAATGCCTATTTGAGACTTTTATTGGCAGTGATATAAACAAGGCATCGGTGGTGGAACAATCCTAATAAGGTTTCCTAGCAGGGATAGAAGCAAAGTACATTCCCGAATTCTGGTTGTCAGCACTATTGAGGATTTAACGAAAGGCGCGCGTTGTTTTTCGTGGCGAGCTGTAAGGCACGGCAAGTCAGGCGGCCTTCCAATGTGTAAACTGTGCTTGTCTAACTCCAGGTTGGCTACGTAGCGTGTAGGAACTGGTCTCTCTAGTGTGGCAGTAAATACTCTTTGGTTGGTAAAAGACTTCAGATTTAGACATGGTAAATCGCATCCCCATATTTTTGTGGTGGTATGTGACCTGTTGCATCAGAAATGCAAAGTCGTGGCGTTTATTCAAACTGATGTACTTTGGTTGTTTCGAAAGTCGTAAGGCTGCTTCAGTAAGACGTCATTCGCTTTACTGATACTAATGCTTGTCTTGTTAATGGCTGCAAGTGGCTCACCGCAGCAGTGCACAGCTAAGCGTTTGAAGAAGTATAACTACCTCGATAGCAAACAGAAACGGGCAAATCTCAGTTTGCACGCGGTTAGCAACCAGGATGACATCGAACTAACCCATATGAAGTGTTACGAGGCACACTGAAGATGAAAATCACCCTCACAATTAGGTTTGTGATGGGACCCTTCGGAAATATTCATCATTTCAGTAGTCTCCCAGATTTGAAATAATGGATAAGATCTGTAGATCAGGTGGATAATTTTGGTGTGGTTGCGTTATCCTAATTGCGAATCCTTATTTGTCGTTCTAGACAATGTCTTCAGCGCCAGCTTTAATATGAATAAATTCTCCATGAGTGATGGAATTCTGAAAGAAGTAAAAACGACAAATGCACCAGGTTAGTATGAGCTAATCTCATCAATCTATCCTGGTACATTTGTCGTTCTTGCTTGGTTCAAGTTTGTTGATGTGAAGAATTGTATGCGGCTTTAAATGATATAATTGTATCTCCTGACAACCATTGTCGTAATTACTTGTTAATTCACACTTTTGTTGATCGTTTCCATTGGCTTGGTGTTGGGATACTTTTGTCGTGTTGTTCATTCTTTTTTTAAGAGGCGATTCATCTCTCATTTTTCAATATTTTTGTCAGTTGTTGCTCTCCGGGTTCAGTGGGATCTTCTAAAGACGTCTGTTTTAAAAGCTTCTTGTCACTGGATAAAATCGGTGAAATTCTATCAAGATAGTCTGATTTGTTCAGCAGAACACTTGCAAAAGCTACATCCGTGCTTGTCATGATGAATTTATTGTTCTTCTTCAATTCTTTCTACTGATTTCAATGCTCTTTGGACAGAAAATTACGAAGGGTAGATTTTATTGATGTAATCGAGACATCGATTTAAGACTTCAAATGGGATCCATGAAACTGGGACTGGATCGTCTGTCTGATTAAATAGATTCTCCAATTGAACTTTTATGTTCAATTCAGTAGCTCTTGATGTTACGTCACAGAAGACTCTCCAACCTCGCTCACCAAAGGAGAACATAGTTGTTTCTATATCTCGATAACAGGAGGTCTGGTGAACTGAGGACACAAAGCTCCACTTGGGTAATCCTTCAAATTCCTATACAAGATCCGACCAAACATCTCAATGGGAGTGAGATCAAGACATCTGGACATAGCTAGAGCATTAGCGATGCAAAAGTTCAAGTTAAAACAGGTACGTCCAATCTTTGTCTTCACCATGGTCATCATAAACAGTTCAATTTCTCAATAATTATTATCCGATTATTTTCCCTATCCGAGCTTCCTATTTATTTTCTTTATTATCTCGTGTCTAATTCCCGTATGCACAAACGGTCAGCTTTTTCAACAATTGGTGAAAAGTTCGCATTAAGACATAGAAAATCAAAACAAGTGATTCAACGAAGTCTCTTCAACGAGTTTGTCGTCAAGCTGTACAATCGTATATATATATATATATATATTATATATGCATATAAATGATTGGTTGGAGGATCTCATCATGATCTGACATCAGATAGAGAGCCATTGGAGAACCTGGGAGCACTGGACAGCCGTTTCGTCCCAGTTCGGGACTCGATAACAGTACGCAACTCTCAGCAGGGGCACGAGTTCCTTCAAGGTTGCAGATATGCCTTCCTGACAAGTGCCAACTAGCACCAAACCTAGGTCCAAGGCTTCCTACCTATTGTCTCCTACCATCTGGTATATAAATGACTATTAATAATGTGAAGTGATGAAAATGTGATTCCACAGTGCCCAAGTTTTACACATATAGTAATGATGAAAATGTGTATTCGCCTAGATCGTGTTATTTACTATCATCTACCTAAAATGAAAAAAGTGACAAAGAACAGGAAGATAGGAAGAAGTACTAGGAGTCCTCAAGGAGTGATATATATATATATATATATATATATATATATACATTTATATTCACTTTGCTTGGAAATCATGAAATGTATCGGCACAATAACTAGCCATGTTATGCTAACGTCTATATTACATGTAGGAGTTGATGTTTATGCCCTATCTAGAAATGTTTGGCAATTCTAACTAAGAAGACACTACGATTTTATGTATGGAACACCTTTAATATGCATTACTGTCTGTCTGTCTGTCTGGATTCAACATAGAACTTGGCACCGAAGTGCAGCAGTTCGAGTTGCCACCTTCCAAATAGCACACAGAGGTAGACAAGAAGATGAGTGAAGAGAATCAATACAATCTGACAAGTATAAGAGTGAAACAGAATGGGTAATGGTAGAAAGGAATATGAAAGATTACAGAGACTGAATACATAGTGGACACAGAGTGAAGAGGGGGTGAGGAGCCATCAAGTAGAGGAGTTGCATCAGTGGGAGGAAGGCGAGGTAATAGAGATGAAGATGAAGACAAAGATAAGTGAGGATTAGAGAGGTTTTGTGTGCATTTCGGATTGTGAGGGCGTTTGTTACTTCCCGGTTGCCCACACCGTAGAAGTTGGTTGCGTGACCGCAGAGCCCAGGGGACAACTGCTTGAGGCCGGTCACACGCGACCTGTTTTTGTTTGTTCTGTTTTGTTTGGTGTGGCTCAGTAGCATACTTATCACTCCTGCCCTGTGACACGGCAACAGGAAGCGCGGTCGTTGTTAATCCGGGCCACGGCCGATCCGGCATGAAATTTTGTGAATTTGTTTGAATCATTACTATGATTTATAAATTGATATCCACTCCGTTTTCTTTGTTTTTCCCGAACAATACAGAAGACAATGTATTCTAGAAACGAGAAGCGCCATTCTGTTTTCGTTGGTTGCTAACTTATTTTGAAAGAGAATTTTCCCACAGGGATACTATGGTTTTATGGGAGGTATGTTTCATTGTTGCATTTATAATAATTGTTGATTAATTATTGTCAACTAATCAATATTAAGCATAGAATTTTGTGGCTTATCTCTCCTGCTCTGAAAGAAGACAGCAGACATTATGGTATGACGATCATTTAATGTCTCTTGTGAATATCTATCAGTTATCATGCACATTCTGTCCCTCAACTTCTTACATTTAATATTGTATTACGGTGAAGAATAATTTGCTGACAATAATTAGCTTCGTGACCACACATCACGTTTAAGAATAGACAGCTAACAAGCTACTTTTGCACCATACAGTGATCTGTTCGCATGTTATCTGTAAAAGATTTTTGTCAGGGTTTTTCAGCAACCAATAGTTACTGTGCAATCGTGATTTGTTCATCTATGAAGTATGGATGTTTAAGGTGTGTTCGCTGCACTTTTCGTCTGTTAGACTAACTTTTGCTCTCGACTTGCTATTGGTTTCACTTGTTTCAAGAATGCTGTACAAACCCTTGTAAAGTTAGGAGATATTCTGAGTTGGAAACGTTTTGATTCCTGCACAACTCCGGGGCTATTTGCATTATTCACGTTTGAGTCAGTATCAATTCATCTACTTTAATTTATTGTACGCTAACTAAAGATTCATACAGATTATGTTTATCTCCACTGGATATGATTGCTTCAGGATACCATTTCAGACCTTATAAGTTGAGTGACAATAACTCCTAGATGACTTGCAAAACTACTGTCAGTGTAAACCAGTAGTTTTCAGCAACTAGCTGAATATATATGTAAGATTGTGGAGCTAATTTCGATAAAATATTCTGCAACATCGACACCGATTTCAACCTAATGAAAATTTATTGTCACCAGAAATGTGATTCGGTTGGCTTATTTGCATTTTGAATTCGCAACTGGATATAGACTTTGTGGACTTCCAAGATGGATTTCGCACCGTCAACACATTTCAGATAGTTTCAGCAAAGGTGGGATTAGAAAGGAAGGCTGGTAGATGTCGCCGAGTCATTTTTGTATGTGCAGCAGTAGCGGCAATAATATCATACATAATAACGTCACTTACCACCTAGTACTGCGCCAACTTATTCCTACAGTTGGGTAGTGATCAAGGAGAATATTTTGACAATTTTTCGCTGCTGCTTCTTGCTTCTCTAATACAGTTGGTACTATTCTGCAGGTTAGTGAGTCATCTTCACTTCCCTCTGTGACCACAAACAACGGTGAAAGCCATAGAAACACCCCAGACAGCCTTTTGAAGCCACGTCGCCAACTTCATATAGGAGCATTTGACGTCAAGACCCTCTGCCAAATCGGACAACAGGCATCACTAGCAAGAACTCTGGCACCTTGAGCCATAGATGTATGTTGTGTTTCGGAGACACGTATACAAGACCCGAGTGTGGTCATTCATTTAACCTCACCGGGTCAACAAGGTGAATCAGCAAAATTCACTTTAAGGGTGTCAGAAGACCCCTCAGCTAGCTCGTGAGGACTCGCAGGTGTAGGGATAGCACTGTGAGTGTTAGGGCGGAAAAGTCGCTTTTTGATTGGATCCCAGTAGATAGTCGTATGTGTGCGGTCCGTCTGAATGGGTCACTTAAAAGAAGGAAACAGGGTGCTATCCGTCCGTCTTTTCGTAGTCTCCGCTTACGCCCCAACAAACTGCAGTTAGGATGAACTAAAGGATGACTTCTACCTGAAACTGTCTAATTTGTTGCAAAAAGCAAAACGCTCGGATATAGCAGGCGACTCCAATGCCCAAGTAAGAAAGTTGTGCCAGACTGAGAAGTATATAGGTGGTACGTACGGAGTCCCCTGCCGATGAACCGACAACGGTGATCGTCTTCTACAGTTTTGCTCAGATAATCATCTGTTCCTAGTCAGCACTAACTTCAGGCACAAAGAGAGACATTGTGTAATCTGGCGACCTCCATCACCAAATCAACGCTGGACTCAGATAAACCACATAGCCATAGAGTATCGTTGGTGGGGGTCAGTAGAAGACTGTCGCTCCTTCTGGAACACGTGCGTAGACTCTGATCACGCTCTGGTTCGCGCACGTTTATGCTTACGACTAAACGGACATAAGAAATTGACGGCAGCGAAACAGTTACGTCCCCAACTAGATCGAGACTTTGAGCCCCTGTTTAAGGAAGAAATAGCGAAACGAGTGTCTGAGGTCGACAGCAGGACTTCCCCTGAGGTAGCCTGGCACAACATACAGTTAGCTGTAGACACAGCTGTGAAAACTGTTAATAAGCTAAAACCAAAAGTAAGTAAGAGCCATTGAATCTCTACCGCCTCATCCGAACTGATTGACGCAAGAAGACTGATTCCGGCGAGCTCTGATTATGATGATGAGCGAAAGCTACTCAAACAAAAACTAACAAGAAATCTTCGCAACGACTGTGAGCAGTAGTGGGCAACAAAAGCGAAAGATATGGAAAAGGCATCGGCAATTGGTAACACCAGACAGCTATTTAGGTTTATCAGGGAAACAGGCGGTAAGAGGCAAATGATAAGTGAAACAATCTCTGAGAAGAATGGTAGCATAATTAGCTCCCAGGATAGACGACTTGAACGCTGGAAAGAACACTATGAGGAGCAGTTTAATTGGCCAACAGCCACGCTCAACCTCCCGAACATCCAACACCTCCCTGAATGGGATATAGACACAGGTCCTCTGTCCTTAACTGAGGTCACTAAAGCTGTCACCAATCTGAAACTAGGCAAAGCAGTGGGACCTGATGGAATGACTCCAGAGGTATTTAAGTACGGTGGAGACAGTTTACTGTCTGCATTAACTGAGGTTCTAGGCAGCGTCTGGGAATCAGAGGAAGTCCCGTCGGGTTGGTGTAAGTCACTGATTATCCCCATATACACGAAGGGAGACAAGTCTTCCTGTGATAATCACAGAGGGATTAGCTTGACTAATATAGTATCTAAAGCCTTAGTCTCAATAATCATGCGTAGACTAAGTGGTGCTCGGGAGGCACAAACACGAGAGAACCAGGCAAGCTTTAGATCAGGAAGAGGGTGTATTGATCATATCTTCATCCTCCGACAGATTCTAGAACATAGGGATTCCTACCGGCGTCCAACAATCACTGTATTTCCTGACCTAAAGGCGGAATTCGATTCTGTCGACCGAGAGGTTCTCTGGCGATGCTTGGCTGTAAAGGGAATGACGAGAAAATACATTGCACTGATTAAGGCACTCTACTCGTACTCATGCAGCCGGGTGAGGGCTTACGGCGAGGTGTCATCTGAAGTGGTGACAACTAGTGGTGTCCATCAAGGATTCCTATTATCCCCATTTCTATTCAACTTCATCATAGATGGACTTAACCCTAACTCATTTCAGAGACTGAGGGATTGACTTGCTACCAGGGAATAATCTCGTTGACTTAGAATATGCAGACGATATAGTCCTCCTAGGTGAAGACGCTGACAAAATGCAGAGTCTTCTGAACACCTTGAGCTGCAATCTACGAATGTTTGGCATGCGATTCGCTCCCGCCAAATGCAAGATGATGTTACAGGTCTGGACTACATCGAATCCTAGCTTAGAAATAGGAAGTGTAGTGGCAGAGCACGTTGACCGCTTCACTTATCTGGGGAGTCGCATCAGCCCCAACGGGTTGATCTCCGACGAAATCTCAGCTGGGTACGGATACAGAGGGCTAGTTTCGCATATGCTAGTTTATGCCATCTCCGACTTAGTAGACGTGATATCCGAATATCGACCAAAAGGCGGGTGTACTGCTCATCAGTCCACTCCGTCCTCCTTTATGGCTGTGAGACCTGGCCACTGAGAGTGGAAGACATGTAAAGATTAGCTGTCTTTAATCATAGGTGCCTGCGCTCTATCTCCCGTGTGAAGTGGTATAATAAGGTGAGCAATATTGAGGTTAGGCGTCGAGTTCTAGGTAAGCAGGGGAAATGAATCTACGAGGTTGTGAAGTTACATAGACTGAGATGGTTAGGACATGTGTTACGTATGCCTAGTCATCGCCTTCCTCGACTGACGGGCAATGTTATCTGACATAGGATTGGTCAGGCTGGAAAAGAGCTATCGGTGGACAAACCAAAACATGGCACCAGTCAATGAAATCCACAACAGTTAGTTTAAGCCGGCTACGTAGGGAGGTGTAGACTTCCTGGTTGGTGTCCTCGAGACGGTAAAAACCAATGGTTGAAAACAATTGGTGAAATGGCTCAAAATCGTTCTCAATGGCTAGTGTAGATGCATCCACTCCTTGTGACTTTTGATTTCCAATGAAACTATATTGTTCTTCGCTATTACTATTCCTTTGTCTCACACCTCTGTTTACTGTCTCTAGTATGCATTTCTTCTACCTTCTTCTCTTGGTTTGTGTGCTACATGGAGTGTGACGACTTGAACTGGTGCACATCGGTGCAAAGTTCTATGTCGAAAACAGACAGACAAGAAGAATTGTTGTGGGATCAATCTTTTATACTTAATCCTGTTAATGATCAAATGTGAAACCACCTAAAAGTTAAAAAAAGTGATAATCTCCATAATACTGTGAGGTGATTAACTGCATGTATCTGTGTATGAATTTGAATAATATTAATGATGTTACAGTTCGAAGTGTTTAAAGGGATGACTTTGAAGTCCATTTTGAGATTACTGTTACGATGGGTGTTTTTCTCATCACTGTGTTACTGTCGTAGAATTTTTATCATTTGGATTTTAGAACAGACATTTCTGTCGAGTAACGGACTGAAGTCTATGCGTGTTTAGTCACTTTCTCGTAGGATTTCACGACTTCGAGTATTTTCTTCTATTCTCATTTAGGTAATTTGGACAGATTATCGTACAAAAAATTTCCATATATTTTTCGCTGCTGCTGTGCTATTAATGCAAAGAGATAATATAATGAACAAGAAATATGATGCAAATAGTATATTGAAGGTAATTTTGACCTTATTCAAATGTTTTACTATTATTTATATTATTCGGACATAGTGAAACATTGACACGATATACTACACCAGATCTGAAAGTATTTTTTTTTCATTTTTACTTGTAATGACTGATGGGTTGGTTAACAGTACTGTGGTGATGTGAATGACAGAATTTGTTGAGCGGTTGAACTTTTATTATTCTACCAAGTCAACGTCCATTGTGGGCAATTTAGGTTATTTTATTGGAAAATAACCAATTCAACTTTTGAAAATAAGGCCAACATTACAATTATGAAAAAAAGGCGATCCAGACTATGGCTTATGTTGATACTACTGTTGTTATAAACAGTTTAACGGTTTAACTATCTGATTGACTTGTCAACGTAGAACTTCACACAGGTCACTATATATATAGCACACAAAGGTGAAGCAAATAAATTCAGGAGACTATAATGAACAGAGATGTATGGGGAAGATAATAAGTAAGTGGAAAGTAATGAGACTTTAATGGACCTTATAGTTCAAAGAGAGTGAATAAATCTGCAGCGTCGAGAACAGTTTTGAGCCATATCACCAACACTCTGTAGTCATTCGTTCTTACAGCGTGGGTCTCCCAAGCTACACAGTCTCCATCTCCTTACGTGGTTCAAGCCAACAGACGTCATGAACTGGTGCTGAGTTTTGGAAAATTCGCATGTGATGTAATTAAGAACAAATAAATCAGCAAAGAGCTCTGTTTTGATAACTTCACTTCAAACCTGTACAGTTATTTGGGGTGGGAAGGGGTTCTACTTAAAATGTTGGCTGACAACAGAGGTCAAAGGTTATTGCGTCATCTCGTTCCTAACTGACAGTGCACATGTCCTCTGATATCTGTCTACGTTGGAGATGACATAAGTTGGTCAATGGTACATGAAGCTTTTGTGGCCGTGCTGTGAGATTTCGTCAGAACTCAACTGATTACGTCTGATGCGTCGTGTGAAATAAGTGAGGTGGCCAACGCGCCCAACCCGGACCAAAGCTGCTACCTTGACGTGGTGGTCGGGCTTGAACACCGCAGTGACCCAACAAGCTATACTGGCTGAGACTTATGTCGCTTGAGGTCCTACCATGCCAGAAAGGTTGTTTGGATAGCGGTTAGACAAAAAGCAGCCACCCAACTCAATACTATGATTCAAACAAATTCACAAAATATCATGGCGGATCGGTCGGGGCTCGACTGCGCTTCCTGCTGCCGTGTCAAAGGGCAGAAGTGATAAATATGCTACTGAGACACACCACACAAAATGAGTCATCTTCACTTCACTCTGTGACCACAAACAACGGTCAAAGCCATAGAAACACCCCAGACAGCCTTTTGAAGCCACGTCGCCAACTTCATATAGGAGCATTTGACGTCAAGACCCTCTGCCAAATCGGACAACAGGCGCATCACTAGCAAGAACTCTGGCACCTTGAGCCATAGATGTATGTTGTGTTTCGGAGACACGTATACAAGACCCGAGTGTGGTCATTCATTTAACCTCACCGGGTCAACAAGGTGAATCAGCAAAATTCACTTTAAGGGTGTCAGAAGACCCCTCAGCTAGCTCGTGAGGACTCGCAGGTGTAGGGGTAGCACTGAGGGGTGAATCGCATGGCAAACAAACCAGGATTTCTGCTCAAAGTGTTCAGAAGAGATTGTTCTTTGTCATTGTCTTCATGTTGAGGATCTGTATCATGTTGATACTGTAAATCGGCGAGATGGTTTCCTGATAACAAGTCAATCCCTAAGTATACTTTATTTACTTATTCAAATACAATACAATACGAGCAAGGGAATATGTGCCATAAAAGAAATAATAAAACAATATAAGGTAAATATGAATAGAGTAAATGAGAGGCGACATCGGCAAGCCATCCCAGCGTTATGTTTCATGAGCATTCAAATCGTGGTTGATTTCAGGTTTGACTGTCAAAGTAGGTAGTAGAATGGGGTCAGTTGGACTAGCGGAGCAGAAAACCTTGCAAAATGTAGATCAGTTGACCCTAACAAAGTAAGAAATCTAGAAAATAGCTCAGCTTTGGGACTGCATTCAATTACACACAAGCATACAATGAGATTAGGGAAGATGGAGTCTCGAAATGTAAGGTAACAGGGTGGAGGGAGAGACTGATAACGGAAGCATTATGTGTCAAGAGACTAATACTTCAATGATTGTCTCGTTTTAAAGGTAGGCGTGATAAAAGCCTCACTTCACACTGATGAAACATTCTCATCACTTCCTCATGCTTTCCTGAGTAATCCAGTTAGTTCCGCGACTAGAGTCTCACAGATTTGCAGGCGAATTAGGGAAACCTAGTGGTTTGTAGCGAGGGATTCTTCTAAGGCGCAAGAGGCTCAACTCACCATTTCCATGGCGTCTTGTGAGTGCACCCAGTGTTCGTCTATACTATCTGAGAAGTTAATAATGGGTAGTCTTGACTGTGGTTAGGTTTCATACACGGTAGCGGAAGCAGGTGCTTCCAGTTTACCTACGTCAACCTGTTGGGGACGTTGTTTATGATCCCCACTAAATCTGAAGATGAACCTGGCAGATTCTAGAGCATGTGATCACTCCAACTGTCGATAGATACATAGGTAGATACAGCTGTGGATATCACGATTATATGAAAGAAATTTCTGAAGACGTAGGGTTATCCTACGTTACAAACTGTTGACCAAGCAGCTGCTAGAGTACAAGAGGATCGATTGAGACTAAATGGACAATGCGATTGCATGGTTCGCTTCAGAGATATATAGTTCTATTGTGTATGCTATGTGGACGTTGCTGAATTAGACCTGTTTGTGTCAAATTAGTTTGCAAAGTTTCAGCTGACTGAAGTTTGCTTACACATATAAACCTTCCTAGTGCCGTAATAGTCAGTCAGTGACCTTATAGTGTGATTCACCCTCCAGCCTTCCACATAGATACAAGTCTACAAAGTGACCAACAGGACTAACTCAATTGTTAAGACCGCACTTGTCAAGCAATATAGGCTCTGAGCAACAGTTAATTCTGCTTGTTTAAGACGTTATCAATTATATTGTCTCGTAATCTAGTCTGACGTAGAGAATGCGACGTATAACCTTGTAAGTCGATTGGTCTACTGTTAGTTTTATATAATACAGTTGTAATATCATTTGTTAATGTATTCCAATTTTTTCTCATTCATCAATGTTTACCACATTTATATATCGAGTGTAGTATAATATTCTGCCGTATAAAATAATAAACACGAGTATCAGTGTACTGTGCTGTATTGTATCTGCGATTTTCTCATTCCGTGTCGGATGACTAAGTTTCAATGTAGAACTTGGTACAAAGTGTAGCACTTGAAGTTGGCACACTCTATGTAGCACACAGAGGTAGAGAAAAAGCAATTCAAAAGAACTATAATCAGCAGAAATATGTGGGAGAAAGGATGGTAATATGGAAAGACATGAGGATTTCATTATGAAGGGAGAATACATTTTTGCCGTTTAGAACGGTTTTGAGGTGTGTCACCGATAGTCTCCAACCATCAGTTCTTAGCCTCCTGAGGACTGTAACCAGAGAGTGGCTCAAGCCAACTCAACGATTTCATGGATTGATGCCGAGTATTAGTTTTACCACTCCTAGTTCTTTTCCAACCTAATCTTGTGCTAGCTAGCATTGCTGCTTGAGGTAGGCGATGGCGTGGTGTGCGCAACATGTGCCCTAACCATCTCAGTCTATGTAATTTCACAATGTCATCGATTGACTTCAGTGTATGATGCATTTACCTAACCGTGCAACTGAAATAGTTTCTACTTAACTGCTTTTCTGCTTTCTTCTTCTCCTCCTCCTCCTCGTCCTCACCAACTTAGCATGTGAATGAATTATCAATGGAAATTCCACTAGAAGAATCCCTTAATTATGCTACAGCTTTATTGTCCCAGTTAGAACGAATTTCCGATTCTTTACCGAAATCCGTACGAAATGTTATCGATGGACAGTCGTTGGCGATGACTAGACATGTCAGTGAATCAAAACAGAAAGGAATCAATTATTCAGATCTATCGTCTATGTACGACTATTCGCCGACCCTATTAAATGAAGAATTAGAGGTGCTGATGGATAATGAAATGTATGAATGTATGAATTTAACACCTTGATTACAAACTGAACTGAGCAACTTGAGTTATGTTTTGCGAAATATTATATTTCTTCTTGTATCATTTTGATTTTGCTTGATTGCTTTTGTTACAAAGTCGGTTTTTCTATTTGCCAAAGCGAAACATAGTCTTCTGAACACTTGTCTACTTATCGCATTGATATTTGTAAGCATACATATGAAGGTGACAGAAATCTCAGACTGTTTTTCTGAGCTGTAGGATGAGATGTAGGCTGTGATTTTTAAGACGCTAGGTAAGAGTCAGAGTTTGGAGCTTCTGTCAAGTGACGTGGGATAATCCACAGTATCAGGTATCTGTTCATCCCTTAATGTCGATGTTCCGATCAACACCACTGTCTGTCTGTTGGATTATTGTATTATTTCCCACACATTTTTGTTGTCTGAAGTGTCTTAATATTTCGGTTCTCTGCTGGTTTTCCGAAAAGTGACAACTTGGACTTATCACGTTGGTTTGTCCTTACATCTGTGTTTTAAGCATGAGTGATCGTATGCATACTGTTGTTGTATTTTGCTTAGCTTCAGTGATCGATGCAATCTTAGCCTAGTCATCTGGAGTTTCTCCCACTAAGCTATGAAGTCTCTTTTCATTTAATATTTTAAAACAAGAAATATTATGAGACTTCGTTCAGATATTAAGTCTCCACATGACTTGTCAAGCTGAGTATTTGATACATGTGATAATTTATATGAAATCACAACTTTTCAATACATAGAGTTGGAGACAGGTACATTAAGATGTGAACAAGTTACTGGGAAGTTTTGCGTCTAATAGATGCTGGGTTAAGAGTTCATTAGTAGATATGGATTAACGTCGGTGCATTATATCATGTGTTATCAGTTAGGTGGACATGCATCGGAAACCGCAATGTATCCAGAGGTATTTTCAACACAAGGTGACTACCCCATTCAGGGAGAAGTCATCACAGCTGATTGTTTTAGGGGATGTGTATTTATGCGAATGAGAAAAGAAAAAGTGGTGAATACACAATATGGACCATTGGTCAGGTGGAGAAATAGTAGAGTTGGACATATTCAAAGCACCACGCTCTGACGCATTGAATATCACGATGTTACTTTGACAACGTGTCAGATTGTTCACCAGAGGCAATCAAGGTAAGGTTAGGAACCGTAGTTACCAGTCATCCAAATTGTGCGTATAGTTTAGGGTGGTAGTGGTGTTTTTTAACACTTATGGGGCAGAAGTGACCAGTGTCTGATAGGTAATTTCAAACATCATTTTGGGAGTTGATAAAAGATCATGAATGCGTGCTTAATATACGTGTTAAGTCTCAGTTAGTGTTTCGATTTACCGTAGCGGTTGTATTGACTTTCTATTAATTGTTCGCCTTTTTGATACCCGTAGGTGGTGGTACCCAACCTTCTTCCAAATCAAACAACTCAGTGAAGAAATAATGTAGTTGCTAATTTTTATGTGAATTGATTGATTTACCAGAGAACTGAAAATTATGTAGTTGAAGTGCTTTGAGCTCGCAGGTTGAAACACGTAAGTGCAAGTATTAATTGCGTAGAACCAGCTTTCATAAGACCGTCGATAAAAAATTGCTTATCAGAATCAGACTTCCACATCGACAAACAACACTAGGACGGTGTCCTTTTCTCTCTGCAGTTCACGTATGACAAAGTTTTCATTTAGCTTTCTGGGCGTCTACTATTTCCTCAGTCTTAATCATTCAGAATATGAGGCTTCTTGTTCAACAATGATACAGTTATGAGAACTGAATTGTGCTTCGAAAGTCATCCAGTTATAAAAACTCAATTATTGATTCACATCAAAAAACATCTTTAATATGCAGTTGGTTACATAATGGATGTTGAGTGGTGCAGTTCTACGCTTACTATTAGCTGACGATAGTAGCGACCAGTAAACTTGTGGAGAGACATCTTCAAGACAAACGTATGAGATATCACTTCATGCGAAGTCGGTAACGTTTGCAAAACAATGAAGCTGAGTGGTTAGTACTTCACAAGAAGGCGGTATTATGCATCGTGTGATAAAGACTTTATCTAATATTCTTACACCAACAAATCCATACGGTAAGACAATCTTCGAGCAGGTGTGTGTGCATCCTATGGTGATGTGTTTCGACAGGCATGTTGTAGGATGTGCTTGGCAGGCCACAGTGTTGGTGTAATAATTCCAACTGGGTCGAATGTCGAAGGTACACATGACGAAAGAGATTTCCTCGTTAGCTTCATGTTAGGATAACGTGTTTGAAAGTAAGTAGTAGTGTTAGTTAATAGATCCTATTTTGTACTTAGAATCCTCATTTTTCTCTTTAGATGGTAGAATATTGATGTTTGTTTCTATACGATTTCCCTCTGGTCAGTAGGCTGTTTAGTGAAATTAAATCCGCTTGTTTTCAGAGTCTGCTCCGACTGGAAACAAATTAGCCGACACTCGTCAAAATAAAATTCTTCCCTAGCTACTTGAATAACACCCTTATCGGACATATCAGTGTCATCTAGAGTGGTCCTTTGTAACGCAAACATGGTGCAACTTAATGAAGAGGTTGATCCATTGGAACGAACCTTCACCCTGTTATCTACTGTTTCCGTCTGCATGTTGCTTCTCTCTCCTCTAGCCACCACCATAAGAGTTTGATAGCACTTCGGTGATACAGAGGAACAACTCCTTAGTGAAAGATAGCTTCAATGTCTACGATGTTGTGAATTGGTCTGTGCGAAAATTTCATAAAGACGTCCACCAGATTATTCATCAGATCGGGACCAAGGTATAAATTGTTATTCAAAGATGTCCTTGTCCACTGTGAAGAGCAGTAGAATGCAATCCTTGATTTATTAGGCTTCTAATGAGGGAACACTGACTGAGTGGTGCGCCACATGCCAAACTTATCCGCTAACATAATCCTACCTGGTCATTTCAGCAGAGTCTCTTCCAACATATTGGTACGTTACATTGATATACTCTACCTAAAGCTGAATCCTGAGTGGAAGGTTTCTTTAACGAATCCAATCGAATCAATGCCACTTTTCTGTTACTAAGTAGCCTTTGTTGACGACACCATGGAAATGCTATCTGATAATGTCCATCTACTAATTGTATGGATTCAGACATGATACTGAGTGCTTCACGCCGTTGGACATACACGGATACACTGATACTTGTCTTGTCAAACTCACTCTTATAGAACCGATGAGACGTGGTCTCTGTTTTTTCTGTAGGTGATGTAAACTTCACTATGCTAGTTCCTCCAAAGAGTTCTACTCTAGAGTTCATGTAACATCCAGCCTAAAGAAGATTTAATAGCACAAGGTCGAATAACTCCACCAAACGTTTTGTCAATTGTTATATGCACTTCTGGCACGTTACAACCAACCTACATCTTAATCTCTTCATGTTTAACGTTTGTCAGAACTGCACCATGCAAATGGTGCACAACTGTTTGTAACTGAGTTAGTCCTTAACTGTCCATGCCTTTGAAACTTACCTGAGAGGAGGAATGTGCTGTCTAAACCTGTAGTTGAACCTATCTATAGAATCGAGTGGAATTTTCTCAGTCTTCCCTTCTAGACCTATTTCTGTAGCTAGATCCTCGCAAGGAGCGTTGCATCTCACCCACCTTCCAGGTTGGACAAATTTTTCTTTATGTCCATCTAACACAGGCACTACTGAGAACGCAATCTGACTCGTCACATCGCTTCACTGATATAAGAATAGAACTTGGGAACTTTGGTAGAGTATAATTCCATCATGGAGTGGATTTATTTGATGAAAGCACACAGTGGTACAGTATTGTTATTCGCTGATGACGTTTTGGAGTACAGTTTATTGCTGCTCATAATCATATCATGGTACTCAGATAACTTTCCACAGTGATTTCAAGGTATTTTGTGGGGTCCATTGTTCTCTCTAACTGGGTCACTAGGGCCCTTTAACCTACAGAGTTTGTTCCTTGATTGAGTTTGGAGGTTTGAATGCCACCCCAGTACACGCTGTATTAAGAATCCTATGTAGGTTTCCAGATGTCCCTTTCTTGTATGGTAAGACTGTGCACGCCTAAAGTTCTTTGTTATTTGTATTGTCGTCAATAGTTCCACTACTCTTCTTGCTTTTCTTGTCAGCTTCTGTGGTCTTCTTCATGAATTTTGTTGGATTTTTACTTCGAATCAGCACTCCTCCTTCCATCTGTTTTGTTTCGTTGGTTAGGTTTTCTGATGCACTACCTTGATTTGTATTGCTCGGTTAATTAGACACTTAACTATGCCCGCCTTTACAGATAACGGATGAGATGAATGAAAGCCTAAGTGTCGGTTAGAGTGAGCTGGATTTTTACAAATTCTAGTGCTTAGTCTACCTTCTCCTATCCGTTTTTTGTTCTACAGTTTAACATAGCTGATTCTCCTTGTTGATTTTCTGATTTAAGTGTAAATTTAGTTCCCTGTACTGTTGAGTTTTGCATGTGTAAATAAACTGGAGATGTGTTCTGTCTTTGCAACACCGTGAAAGTGTCATCCAGACATCTGCACCATATCTCTGGGGTGGAGTTGAATGCTTTAAGAGCATAACTGGATTCCTGAGATAATTTCCTCATCAGGTAACTTTGTGCTATGAGTGAGTTTGGAATCAGCAGTTAGTTGTTTTCCAACTGCTTCGAAAGCCATATTCATTGGTATATTAGTATAAAGACTGGTTATATGAAAACTAACCATTTTTGATTATTTCCTATTCGAGTATCACTCAACTGTAACATTTCATCTGAATTAGTTAGTCTCGAGTTTGAAGGATCTCTGGTGATACATAATATTAATGCTGAGTATATAGGTGACCACTAAGTAGGGGGTATTTCTGCAACCAACTTTTGATTTTATAGGACTATGAATCTTGATAGTACCATATAGTTTAGTGTCATTGTTGGTTTCAGGCACTAGATTAAACCATTAAGACTCACTCCGTGATGGCTTCCTTCTGGGTACTAAATATACTGTAGACTTCTTAAT